CTGCTGCCGGCAATGGGCTGACAGGAAAGGACAGGGCGGGGGCCGGCCCCAGCCTTCCCCTCAACAGTGCTGCTGAAGGGGGATCTGAGGGCTTCCGAGGGCTCCCCGAGCACGGTGGTTTCCAAAAGCACAGGAAGCAGCGTGTCCTGCCAGGCAGAGTCCCCTGGCAGGCAGCACTGCCTGCAGGCATGGGCACACGGGCTCTGACCTCAGCCTCTGCCCCGACAGCCACCGCAGCCAGGCCCGGGCGGCGGCGGCTGGGCTGTGCCTGCCCTTTGAGCTCCAGGTGTGCTGGAGCACACTCGGGGGTCTGGAGCTCAGCACACCCTCGCCGAGGTTTCGATTCCCGAGAAGCCGGGCCGCCTGTCCGGGGGGTGTGCTATCTGAGCGGAGGTGTTCCCCGGCTGCCGGCTGCTGATAGCGACAAAACAAGGCTCAAGGAGACGCGAGAGCAAGCTGTTAACACGAGTGATCCCTCCAGCTGGTGTCACGTAAAGAGATAATGGGGGAACGGAGCTGGCGCTTACGTTATCTCCAGCGGCCGTCTGAAACGATGCTTTTGCCAAAATGAAATGGAATAATGTTCACAACTTCCAACCTAATTACAGTCGGCTGGCAGCATATTCATGTGGAGAGCTCAAGGAGGGATACTGTCAGCAAACAGATGAGTTAAGCTCTCTGAAAGCTATTCCAGATAGAGATTTCTCCTTAAATTAAGGAAAACAAAAGCTGGATGTTGGAGGACAAGGTGGAACCTCACAGGGTATTTCCAAATACCAGTGACCTGTCCCTATGAACACAAGGAAAAAAAAAAAGACCACTTCCCCCCTCCTCCATCACCCTTATTCTACCAAACAAACACCTGGAATTTACATCCCAAGGCCTCACCTATTCTATAGACACTCAAATGATCTAAAATTAGAATAAAAATTATAGAGATTGTATCAGAGAGATAGTATTGTGCTTGTACTTTCCAATACAAAGGCTTTGTTTCATTTTCATTAATCCATGAAAAGTAATTTATGCATCTGACATTTAAATTATAAAGATTCAGATGATTAATACATACAGAAAAAAAAAAAAAATTCTGTTTCTGTGCTTTATCACAGGCTTAAGGGAAAAAAATGGCTCCGGGCCTGGCCCTGTGACAGACTGAGCACTGCCACCTTCCAGTGACAGCAGCTGAGCTGTGCATGCTCATTCCCTTTCAGTTTCAGTAATTTGTCAAGCACAGAAAATACGTGTGTGTGTGTGTGTCCACAATCCTGCCAATGTGCCTTGTACTTGGGGATAAATCAGCAGTCTGTGCCCATTCATCCCTTGGTCTCCCCTTCATAAGTAGCAGGAACGCAGTAAAAATGCAAATAGGGAAGCCTCTGTCCTCTGTGAAACTGTGTGGCAGCTACTGAGAATGGGCACCATTCAGGGCATCGGCCGGTGACAAGCCTGTGCTAACCCGGCCTGCATTTTGAAGAAATGTCTAAGAATTTTTCCGTAACATCACTGGCCTCTGGAGCAATCCAATTTTTCACATAAGGGAAAGAAACACTTCTGTTACTGTTTAATAGTACTTTGTAGTCAATTATAGGGGGCACCCTGGTGAAATAATTCACTTGTACTGTCAAAGCCAATAGAATTTAGGATGTTTTGTTTACTTCTGCAACCAGATGTTTTTATGAAAGCACTCTGACTATAAAGTCAAAAACATTTCTCCTTTCTATTCCTTACATTAGTTTCAGTGATAAATTATATTCAGTAGAGGAATCTATCTTTTATAGTGGCTTGACCCTAATTAACATGGATGTTTTTGATGAATGACGTTTGTAAGTTTTCCAGCTATATGCAGACTTCTGATCATGATTGATTGCCCAAGTAATTTCTGCAACAATAAACTTTCATTACAGAATCTTTGATAAAAATCACAATTCTCTGGCAAACTAATAATTTATGCAAATTAAATGCATCTTTATTTACAAGCTTTATACACTGTATCTGGCAAACAGGATAAGGAAGTTCTGTGTTGTATCACTGAATACAGACTACACAGTAGTAGCTAAAGTAGCTAAATCTTTAAGCAGTCTTAAAGGAAAATTCAGGAAATACAGTGTCTGCCTTGTTAGTAACTACCCTGCAGAGTGTAGCAATGAGTCCTACCAGAGATCACGGCAAGAGACATGTTATTTTCACAGGCAAACAACAACAGCACAGTCAAGAAAGTAGGATGGGAGACCACACTGATTACAAAGTTAAATCTATTTGTAATGGGTCAGAAGAGTGATTAATTGTCAGCAACAGGACATACCTGAACTTGTGCCACTTCATTGATGAGAACCAAGCACTGACAGTCAAAATACCAGGCATTCATTTCAGGCCCAGGATGGAAGATGTAAAAATTTCAGTTTGATCTTCACCCAGTGCTATTCCCTCTCTTCTTTGTCATTTACCCTCAGGAAATGGGTCATTCCCAGGTCAAAGCAATTATTTTTCAGAGGCACTTGTTTCTCCAGAAGAGCAATGACAGAAGTTTTCAGCTAAATAGAAACAAAAGGCTTGTGCAGCACGCCAAAGAACAGATCATGATAAACTAGAAGATGGTCTGTGTTGTCAAGAAATGAATGTTATTATCAGCCTTTAGCTACACTTCAGCATGCTCTTCAGAAAGGATAGCTAAAATCTGGTGTTTTCTTCATGGAAACCTTGCAGAACTGATCCTGCCTAGTCTGCAAGTCTAGCAGTTTAGCCTGACTTGGCTCTGGCAGCTCTCTACATGTGCACTCAAAAAAAGAGGAGAGAGAAAACAAAAGTGTGAGCTAGAGGAAAGATGGCAATATCACCACATCCTACAATGAATGCAACATTTTTTTATTTAGATGTGACAACCCAGCATCTAAAAAGCACGTGTAGACCCACAACTGGAGAATACTTAGGATACCATAAGTACTATTAGTAGTACCAGCTACAAGGAGAGAACAGCATGTGTTCCACTGTACAGAGCAGCTTCAAGTGTTGTGTGGCCTCTTTACTTCTTGCTCCTGTTAAGCCAGTTTGGCACTCACTTCCTGACTTCTGCTGAACCACATATCTTGTTTTGCCCATCACTTAAGCAGGCATTGTTAAAAACCCAAGCACTCACCACCATGCTACCCGTGGTATTCAGGTGTTGGTCACAGGCCTCCTCATCTCCTGGTCCTCAGAGGCAGCGTAGCCCAGCAGCGTTCTGGAAGGACAGGAATGACCACTGAGCAACTTTGGCTTTCATGAACCTTTGGGTTAATTAATAGTTAGTCAATGGCAGTTAGAAAAGAGCACCTGACTTATCCTAGGGACCTGGGCAGGTAACTCTTGTCCTGGATACATCCAACTGAATAGCTTCCATATCCCTCTTCTACTGCCTTCCAATGACCTCCAAAGTTAAAAAATATTTTCCTTCAGTGCTTTCACAGAGTCAGAGCTTGAACTGCTGCCATTGCACCAGGTTCAGCAATTCACACCACTGTTAGATGCTCCCTGTTAACACTGATGTCATTCCTACATGAGACCAAATTTGGACTGCTCAAAGTGTGGAATGTGTGTTAGCAAATCATGAATGCATTAGGAAAACAACATGAAAAGTGAAATACTGGACAGAGGTTCCAGTACTAATTACAACCATCCAAATAACCTCAAAACTCAAAGGCTTTACTGCAGCAAAATCAATGTTTCCAATGGCAGTTCAAGTACAACCTAGTCCAGTAAGAACAGCTCTACAGCTGACTCTCATGCTGGGTCAATCTCAGCATCCAAGACAAGCTGCTCAACACTGGTTTGGGTTTGTTTACCTATGCTTTCCTTTTATTTCTTGGCTCAAAATCTGGTTCTGAGGCCCTATCTTGAAAACATTTCAAATTGATTTCACATGCAAACTCCTCTGAAAAGTTAAGGCCCCACATTTTTTTACTATGAATATTGCTTTTCAAATTGATGTCAGCACAACTGGCAAACAAAATGGATTCATCAGGACTGTCAGTGTTCAGGGACTGTCAATAGAAAATCAATCTTTGGGGCAGTAGACCATTATAAAAAAAGAGAATGTAAGTGTTATTAGCTTAGATGTGTAACCTGATTATATGGGAGCCTCAGTGGCAATTGCTGTGAGTGTTTATCTGCTTTCCATAGTACTCTGTCAAATACAAATTGAATGAATGGTACAATCCCATTACACTAAAAGATAAATGCCTCAAAATAAAACAGGTTGAGCAACTAACACACTCGCTGCCCTATTGATTTGTATGTTCACAGTGTATGCAGTCACAGATCTCATCAGCTGTTAAAGGTTTACTTAAATCTGTATAACAATCCCATGTATTTAAGCATCCCAATTAACTGTCTGGTCCTAAGTGAAATTCTCACTGCAAATACCCAGTTTTTAAAGAATGAACAGCATTTCCAGTACAGAAGAATTGCTGAGTCAAGGATACAAATGGGGAAGAAAGACATCAAATGCTTCTTACAGAGAGCACATAGCAGTGATGCCTGGCTTGCGATTATGCTTCAAATTTAGAAGCATTTCACAGGTTGAGAGCATGTATTTTTCAGAGTTGAAGACAGAGGAGAGAACCTGATACACAAATACAAAATGATGGGAGTGGATCAACAAGCTGAAAAAAAAGAAAAACAAAGAAAGCCACTCTATCCTTGAAATTTCTTCTGAGGGTTTTAAACTAGATGTTATAACACTTCAAATTGAAACCAGATGAACCCTTCCAACTGGTTTGCTGACCTGTCCTTTGGTAGCTGAGCTGAGCATAATACCCCACCTTCCAACATGCACAAAAAGCCTTATCACCAATAGCCAAATATTCTAATACTTTCTAGTTTTCTGATAGCTCAGAAGCTTCTTGGTGCTTTATACACCTATAAAGGTTTAAACTAAAGCTCTTGTGTTCATTAATTCATTGCAGTTCGCTAATAACCTTCCAGGAAGTGGCATTCTCTACCACACTTCCTTGTCTTGGATGTGATTTCTAAGTCTTGAAATAAGTGAAAAAATGGTTTGAAAAATCAAAGAAACAGGTGCCTACTACTGGGAAGGAATTCCTTTGTTTTTCTTGCATCCGATGTAAAACCACTCACAGTAACAATGAAGATGTATCATCTATTTAAAATAAATAAATAAATAAATAAACAAACAAATAAACAAACAAATAAATAAATAAAGTAAAACTTTTTTTGTCTTTGAGAAATATTTTCCCGTTATAAACTCATTGGCTTTTATCATGGAAAATGAATAAAATGACTTTCAATTAACTCTCGTCCTCCACTAATTTTATCAGAAAAAAAAAAAAAAAATTAAAATCCCAACAAATTGCTCCTGGGGCCTTTGTAATTTCTGGTCTATATAACTTATTTCCATGAAACAATAGATGGCATTTACCTCTTTCCATCCAACACTGGTAAGCTCCACGCCAAGAATCCCGTGGGAGGGAGGGACGGTGCCTTCCCCCGCGCTGTTGTGCTGCGCCCGGCTCTGGCAGTAGGTGTCAGCAGCAGCTCACCCAGAGAACCTGCCCATCATCCCGGGAGCTGCCGTGCTACACGGATCAGACCTTAGTGCTGTAAGGCACCATTACTTTGTCACTCTGCTGCCTGTTTTCTGACTAACCCAACAGCGAAAAGCAGCGGGTCCAGCTGCTGAGCATCCTACATGATTGTACACCGCAGCAAATAAGCAGGACGAGCTTTGCTTACGCACTGGTAATTCATCTGCATAGCAAGTGTGGTGTTTCACAAGACAGAGGCTGGTCTCGGAAAACATTTTGTGCTGCAGAATGACAGGACACCGTGATTTGCACATAGTGCCTCTTCTGAGGTCCGGAACTCATCAGGTGAGTGCAGCAAGTAACTGCAGAGGAAAGATCCTCCTTACGGTAAGACTTTACTACAGAACACTGCATAAGGATGATTCAAGGGATAAAATTTTAAGGAGAGGTTTTCAAATAAAATCATATTAAGGTCAAGCTCAAACTAAGCTATCTGTAGATGGAGCTGGAGAAAGCTCATTCACAGGAGGAAAGTTTAAGAGAGATTCTGTCGATATGTCAATGTCAGGCATCCTATGGGGAAGGCTTTCTAGATTTGAATTTCAGCAAATCTAGATGAATAAAATAAAGTATCAAATAAGTTGCACAACATGATGAAATAACAAGAGAGTGAAAGAAAGACAACTTCAATACAACATCTTTGGAACTTTCCACATTTCTAGATAATTCTGCATGTGAAGAAAGTAAAAATCAAAAATCATTCAGAAAAATCTGAGGTTACATGTGTCTGAGCCACTTTGATCCAAGACATAGTAAAGTGAAGAAAAATCACTTCAGTCAAAGAATGACCTTGACCCCAAAACTAAAAAAACCCACATGGTAAAAAAAGGTCCACTAAATCAAATTAGCAAACAGAAAACAGGATGGGTAAAAGAAAAAAAAAAAAAAAAAAAAAAAAAAAAAAATCCAATGATGCCAAAGCAGAAACTAAGATGTAATTAAGGGGATACAAAGAGAACACTGCAAGTGCATTATTTCTCTTAGGAATGTTTGACAATGCCAGCTCGATATAGTCACCTATTTTCTCTCAGTGAGGGCAGAGCACATACAGGAGAAAAAGCAATAGCTGTCTGATCTTGGCATTCATGGGTTTTGGTATCCTTTCACACTGCACTTTGCTATCAAGCTGGCAGAAAATGTACTGATCTGGTACTGCTGTGCTAGATAGAAAAGCCATGATTATAGCAAACTTACGTAACCACAGCATATGCAGAGCAGCTGGTCACTACCAAACTGTAAAACCATATCAAAATGAGGTTACGTAGGCATCTGTCCTCAGTCTGTTCATTAATTACGTGCAAGATTATACTTATTAAACTTGTGGGAAACACCAAGCTGGAAAGACTTGCAAGCACTTTGAGAGAGAAATGTATAGTTTAAAATTCTCTTGGCAAGATAGTGAAATAAATAAGATTAGAAATCAGCACATACAGTATTTTATTCTCACTTATAATCACAAGCTAAAGGACTAGATTTATTTGAAACATTTTTCAGAAAGGATCAGGGCATACAGTGAATCACGAACTGATTGTGAGTCAGCCACGTCATATTGCTATGGAAAAGCAAAGCCTTTTAAAGGATTCAGTGAATGAGTATCACAGGGATACAAAAGGATCAACATGGCAACTTGCAGCAGGCACAGTGTGTATTAGTACCTCATTTCAAGAAACATGAGAAACAACAGGGAAAGGTCCAAGCTAAATGAACAATAAAACAAACATGATTCAGAAAAAAATAAAGTTGAGAGAAAGAATGGATGTCCTTATGTAAGTATGCAAGAGCAAGGTAACTGAGGCAGGTAACACACAAACTCTGAGTCAAGATCTCAGTGAAGAATCATGATACAGAAATAGAGAAAATCAGAAAAATATGTTAGAGATAATATGGCTTCATGAAAAATAATCTGCTCTACTTATAACCCTTTCCTAGCTTTCTGTTTGTGAATATGATTGATAAATCCACTCCTCTGATGGTTAAGCTTTGTTCACCTCCTATTTGCACCATGAGTAGCGAGCCCAGTGCTTCAGGTGAAATTTGGGGGAGTGCTCCTGACAAAGTCAAAAACATGCTACATGGAAAAATAGAAAAAAAGGAAAATGAGAGTTTGAGTTAAAGAAACTGAAAGGTTGCCTTCTTATATGCGGGTTAGCAGAGCTGAAAGATTTAGCTAGTTACAGTAACCTACAGATCAAAGAATATTTGACTGAAGCTGTCACCCCTCCAAGAGCATTATTCCCAAATAAGCTCTTCCAGAGCACTTCACTGGCTCTCTGCAGTGCAGGGAGAAAGAAATGCATGTGGAACCTCTGATACAGGGGCAGTCTGATCTCTGATATCTAAGCAGTCTGTGGCAGAGTGGGAAACACCAGCTCCTGAGAAAGGGAATCCAAACAATCCCTCTTCCTTGTTGCACAATACCAGACCCCTAGAAGAAGGCCTTCTGCAGGTAAACCTACTACTAGTTGTCAGAATAAGACACAGAATAAAGCAGAGGATATATAACTATGCCCAAAACATTGTCTTTCAAGTCTAGGTGTAGGAAGGACAAACAAATCTTTAGGACCAGATAGGATCTGAAAATTCTCGGAAGTGGATGACATGGCATTTTTACCACTGGTTTAATATTGATTTAGGTTTATCTAATCCCTACTTTAATTATTGTACCTCAGTCACTCCCTAGACTCCAGACTCTTCCAAACAGACTTTTTGTAAACAGCCATCTCCTATTGTGTGCCAAAGGATTTCTCATAAACTTCCAGCAGTTACCACCAACAAATAAACTGCCTCAGATGCAGAAAGCTACTGGTGTTTGAAATATGCTCTACTGACAGCAGATCCATGGACTGTTGGTCAGAACACCTGGAACATTTCCTGGGTCTTTCCTGCTGGAGCTCTGCAAGAGTTGATTATAAAATGGATGCTTTTACCGCACACTGAAGACACCAAGGTTTAGTAGATATCTCTTTACTCACTTCCCCAGTTTAACTGTCCTTTCACTCTATGCCCACTAAATTTCACTATTTTCACAGACATTATGTCTGTGTGCAAGGCTTTAAAAAAAAAAAAAAAAAGTTACCTCAGTCCTTTCCCATTTTGCCTTACAGTAGAGATGTCATCCATTTCCTTATTCTGGTTGCACTTGAATTTCATTACAGGGCAGAAAAGTTCATAGAACAGAAGACAGTAAAAATGAAAAAGCAGAACAACAAAACTGAGGAAAAACAAAAATTTTATTTCATTTTTAAGTTGTACTCTTGCTATCAGCAGAGCTGGAAAGACTGCCTGTTAATGATGAGTAAGCATTAAGCAGCAACACTTCCAGCTGACACATATATAAAAGAATTCACGTATACAAACTTCAGTAACCTCTCCACTTCACTTAGAAATGAATTACAGCTTCCTTAGTCTTGTAATCTTGCCCACTCACAGGGCTTATTCTCTTCTTTTAAAAGTTTTAGACCCTATCTTCTATATTAATATAGATAAGAGCACCTCCATGAATTTGTGCTTTTCATTTTTTGACATTTTGTGTCTGTGCAAGCTGTTGACTCATGGCTGCTATTTCCTGATAACTCATGGGAAATATATGAGGCAGGGGTTTTCATGTTCCCCAAAATGGCAACCACAGCTAGGACGGAAAGGAAAAATGAGAAGAAACAAAAAGCCATTTCATTAAATAAATTTGTTTTCTAAGCAGGATATTTTCTTGAACTGAAACGTTGGTAAGTTAATTCAATTTCATCTTCTTGGATACTTACATTGTTATCTCACATGACACTTTTTTCCCCCTATAAGATTTAATCTTAATTCCCTTTCCTACAACTGTGTTAAGAAGCAAAAGTAGACTTAGGGTTTGACTTAGGGTCTCTAATTTACCATCTACCTAATTTTTACAGTTTGCATTGATTAATATGATTATATGTCCTCTTGAATGTTGTTTGCTATATTCTTTGGATTTCTGTTTGGAGGTATCTTGATATAACAATTAGTTTCACTCTTGGATTATGTACCATACAGCCCTTTTTTTTTCTATCTTTTTGTAGAGAAATAGTTTCTAATTCTTGACTGAATTTAGAATTGTTAATTAATATATTTAAAAGAATAGTTTCACATTTTAAAACTATTTTAAATTTTAAAATATTTTTAAAGAGCTTTTTACATATTTGAAGAATACACTGTCTTTCATTATTTCAGCTAATTGTGCTTGCAGGGGTTGACTCTTAGATGCTGTAGCAAACATTAACTTTGAACTTTACAGGCAACACACTAAAGCATGAAATAGCAACACAATATGTCACAACAGTTGAATGAGAGGATATGACTGAGGAATAACAAATTTTGGTTTTGGAAGAAGAGAAAGAAAATAAAGTGTGATTACTACCTACCTAGACAGAGGATATGATGCTTAATTGCATACCTCTCACTATTCCAGGGAAAGAACTGTACTTATTCACTTGAAAGCTGCCCCTTGTTAGGGGCAAAGCAACAGTGCTTACATGTCCTGAAATATCACCCACAAACCTGGCAACATCTTGCACCAGTGTTCATCATGTCTCAGGATCA